TTGCACAGAGGATCCCATGAGTCATCTTCTCCTCTCCTTCATCGCCAATTCTCTCTGCTAGGGTTTCCGATTTCTCTCTCTCTATTGGTCGAGTTCTTTCTCTGTTTCTTTCCTCTCTTACTCAGCCATGGATATGACTACTTGTGTTGCTAGAAGAACTCGTTCGAGGACGGAATCTTACTTGAATTCGATTCTAAATCGAGAAAAAGGGATTTCTGTCGAAGATCAGCCCGAGGGGTCGTTAGATTCGAGGAGGGAGATGAAGAGATCTTCCATGCGTAATGCTTGTTCACCATCGCCGGTTAAGTCGAAACGACGCCGGAGAAAGGCGACCGAGGATGATGACGATGTCGAGTATATCGGAAGTACCATACCAGAAGGTAAGCCAGAGCACGAACCTGATTCGGTGATTTCTCCTAGGTTAGAGTCGAAATCGGTTGATCATGATAGGATTTGTGATTTACCTGTGGATGATGCTAATTCGAGAGGTCAGGAGAAAATCTCTATTCTGACTCCTTCAGATTCTGATGATGATGTTGTTATTGTCGAAACTATCCCGAGTGAGGAGGAGGAACATGTAGAGGATTACAATGTTGTTGATAGGGTTTGTGACTTGCCTGTGGATGATGCTGATTTGAGTGGTGAGGAGAAGTCTCCTATCTTGACCCCTTCAGTTCCGGTGAATTCGGATCCTGATGAGGTTATGAGTCTTAGTAGTTCTGACGAAGAACGTTCTATAGAGGAAGTCAGTGGCGAAGATAGAAATTATGGTGACAGCGATAGCGATAATGATGAAGATGTTGATGTTGAATCATCCGATTATGTGGCGGAAAGTTCCGATTCTACTTATATTGAAAGCTCTGAAAGTGAATCCGACGACGATGAGGTTGGTGCCAGAGACGCTGCTAAAGGCAGGAAGAGCCCAAATGAAAAAGTGTATACCCACGAGAGGCGAAAAACTCTTCCTCCTAGGGAGAATAACTTGGATGTATTTGAGCTGCTAGCAAAATCTATTTGGGAGAGAACGAAAATTTTCGAGGAAGACATCTTCTCCGAGGACGAAACACAAGAGGTTGATTCCAGAGAAGATGCTATAGTTAGAGAGAGCTCAAATGAAAAGGTGCATGAACAGAGGAAACCGAGGAATTTCCGTAGGGTTAAAAAGAAGAACCAGTCAGATGTGTTTGATCTTCTAGGAAATTCGGTTTGCGGGAAGGGTGAGAGTTTTGATGATGGAGTGGCAGGAGATTCACCTCCACTAAACCTGAGATTCGGCTGTGAGGTGCCTGAACCAATTGAGAAAACAGAAGAGGAGAAAGAAATAGACAGATTGTGGGAAGATATGGCCTTAGCTCTAAAATTGGAAGGACTACACTCATCTACCCCTGCTAAAGTAAGACCTTACTACTAATTCTTCTTGTTTGTCTGGGCTATGCTTGACGATCCTGTTGCATGCTTTTTCCCTCCAGCTTTTTCTTAGCATTGTTAAGGCATGTAATTAAATCTCATGCTATTTGCTGTATCAGAATGCTGATGTGCCATGTATTAAAGGGAAGCATGACTTTGTTCTTGATGAGGAAATCGGTCTGAAATGCCGCCACTGCTCTTATGTGGTCGTCGAGATCAAAGACATCTCACCAGCCATGGTAACTTCCATTGTGCTATGATCTCCAGATTGAATTGTCTTGTTTGTTGGTTTTCTTTCCATATATGGAGTACTTAACATGTTCATTTTTCTGCATTGTGCAGGACCAGTATCGTGCTAATGTTAGTGACAAGAATAAATGTAGTGACAGAAAGGGTGACACTTTACCTAGCAGGCTTGACTTTGAGACTTCAGATCACAGCAGCTATGCCGCCTCTTTCAATAATACAGAAGGAACTGTCTGGCAATACATTCCTGGCGTCAAAGATACTTTGTACCCTCACCAACAAGAAGGCTTTGAATTTATTTGGAAGAACATAGCTGGGACCTCAAAACTTGACGAGTTGAAGAGCTCAGAGGCAAGGGAAAGTGGCGGATGCATTATTTCGCATTCACCTGGAACTGGTAAGACGCGCTTGACCATCGTCTTTCTTCAGTCATACTTAGAACGGTTTCCAGATAGCCATCCTGTGGTCATAGCTCCTGCAAGCTTACTGTTAACATGGGAAGAAGAGTTCAGAAAATGGAATGCAAAGATTCCATTTTATAACATGGGTAATCTGGAGTTCTCAGGGCTTGAGAACCAATCAGCTGTCTCACTTCTAAAGGGAAATAAGAGTCATAGGAGCAACAAGCGTTCCATTCGTATGGTTAAGCTATATTCTTGGAGGAACAAGAAAAGCATTCTTGGAGTTAGCTACCATCTGTTTGAGATGCTCGCGGGAGGTAAGCACGCTAAAGAAATGGAGGAGTTCAGAAGGATGTTGCTAGAATTGCCGGGATTGCTGGTCCTTGACGAAGGCCACACCCCGAGGAACCAGAATAGTTGCATTTGGAAAGTGCTCTCTGAAGTTAGAACGGAAAAGCGTATCATTCTTTCTGGGACACCATTCCAAAATAATTTCAAGGAACTTTCTAACGTCTTATGCCTGGCAAGGCCAGCTTATACAGATTCGATTTCTTCGAGGCTCCAAGATCTTAGCAAGTGGAGCGAAGAACGCAACAACGGGAGGTGTTATGAAGAAATTGGAATTGTAGAGCTTAGGGCTATGATTGCTCCATTTGTGCATGTCTACAAAGGGAACATCCTTCGAGAAAGGCTTCCAGGTCTAAAAGACTGTGTTGTGGTGTTGAACCCGCCTCATATACAGAAGAAAATCCTCGCCAGAATCGATTCTCAAAACACATTTGAACTTGAGCACAAGCTTTCTGCTGTTTCAGTTCACCCATCTCTGTATTTGGACTGCAATCCCACAAAGAGGGAACAATTACTCATTGGGCCTACAACATTGAAAACCCTGGAGAGTCTTAGACTTAACTCAAAGGAAGGTGTGAAAACGAGGTTCCTGATTGACTTCATCCGATTCAGTGAAGCAGTGAAAGAGAAAGTGTTGGTGTTTAGCCAATACATTGACACTCTAAAGCTGATCAGGGACCAGCTCAGTGTAGTATTTGGCTGGAAAGAAGGGGAAGAAATTCTATTCATGCATGGTCAACTTGAACTGAGAGACAGGCAACATCTGATCAACAACTTCAACAAACCAGACAGTGAATCTAAAGTGCTACTGGCATCAACAAAAGCGTGTTCTGAGGGTATCAATCTTGTTGGCGCGTCAAGAGTCATACTTCTTGATGTTGTTTGGAACCCATCTGTTGAAAGGCAAGCGATAAGCCGGGCTTACAGAATTGGTCAAAAGCGGATTGTGTACACATACCATCTCATGGTTAAAGGCACAAGTGAGTGGGACAAGTATTGTAAGCAAACCAAGAAACATCACATATCCGAACTGGTCTTCTCTTCTACGAATGAAAAGGATGTGTTGATAAACAAGGAAGTTGTTTCTGAAGATAGAATTCTCGACGAGATGATTCAGCATGAGAAGCTCAAAGACATGTTTGAGAAGATACTTTATCACCCTAAGGAATCTGACATGTCTACTAACATGCTCTGATTGAAATATCCTTTTCTCTCTCTGCTAATCCCATTCTCCGTGTCTACTTGTAGTATTAAGTTTGAGCTTTGAAACAGATCACTCTAGCAATATGTAGTATTATAATTCGATTTCTTCTTATCAATGAAGATGTGTGTATTCTCTAGCAGTCTTTAGTTTGAAAGATTCTTTTGCAGGGAGTGAAATTTGAGAGATTTACAACGACAAATACTTACTACTACAAGAGGGGAAGGACCAAAATAACTAAAACCGTGGCTGCGACTCTGCTCAACATTCTTGAAGATCCAAGCTGCAACCTTGGTGAATCTCCTGTATCAATCATCACAGGGAACTCACAATTTTCATCAGACGGATTTTCATCTGTGATCAAACCCAACCCCAAGAAATCACAGTCCCAGGTATTCTGGTCGTGCATCTGATAATACATATTAAAGGCGTATGAAGCATTCCCTACGGCAGTAAGATGGTTGCAGGAGGAACCATACCCGAGTGCTGTGCAGTCAGACAAGCTACAAGCATAGTCAATGTTATCAGCCAAATCATCGAGGTTATACGCATTTGGGTCAAGAACACACCATGATTTAGGCAGATAATTGACATCTTCCACAGGAACCAGAGCTCCCACATTGCCTTTACCCGATAAGTCGAGCTCGTATTTCGGTCTCCCATCAAACTCAAAGATCCCCCAATGCCTCTCAAAAGTCCCAGGGGCAATACTCTTGGCGTCTTCATCGATAAGGCTGAAAAGGTAAACATCCATGATCACTCCTTTCCTTGCAGGCGTTCCATTTCCAGACATAGCATGCTTTACCATTCCCTGATTGAATTTCTCTGCGCTCTTTACATTAGCGTTCTTGTCTCCATCCGTAGGCCATCCGACCTCTCCCACGATGATCTTCATCCCCAAAAAGCTATATCTTTCCATAGCACAGATCAAAGTGTCCAGATTAGCATCAAACACATTGTTATAGACCAAACTGCCATCTCTCAAAGGCTTGTTAGTCCCATCAAAGAAGGCGAAATCCACAGGGAAATAAGCATTTCCATAAAGACTGAGAAAAGGGTAGATGTTGACTGTGAAAGGCGAATCATGTGAGTACAAGAAGTTGATTATCTCGATGGTTGCATCTCTGAGCTCAGGTCTAAAGTCTCCAGCTGATGGAACAGGGTTTGATTCCGGTGAAAAATAGATGTCTGCGTTGAAAGGAACAGTGACTTTGACATTTTTGAGATTAGCTTCCTCTAGTGCTCGTTGTATGTTGATGAGAGCTGGTAAAGTGAACTCAACGTAAGTTCCATTATATGTCTGAAGGAAAGGCTCGTTTCCTACAGCTATGTACTTGATGTTGACTCCACCGTGGTAAGAATACGCAGTTACGTTTTCTTCGACCCACGAACCTGCCACGGCTGGATCTTGAGCGACTTCTTTAAGCAACCGGTTTGGTATTCCGATCATGACTTCGATTTGTGAACCAATTAGAGCATCTAAGATGTTTTGGTCGGCTTCGAAGAGTTTCAACTTAGTAAACCCATTGTCTTTTAGCATCTTCACTACGTTTTCAGGTGGAAGCTGGTGACTCGCCATTGTTCCCCAGTTTACTCCTACACTAGTACTTCTGCTAGAGGCAATGGCAACTTGTGAGACAAGAAAAAGATAGAGAAGCCGATGAAAAAAGAAGATGTTTTTAAAGCTTCTTGATCTCTCTTCTGCCATCTTCTTCTCTGTTCTTCTAGATAAATCTTTTCTTTATGGGGTCTTAATGATGTTGCAGAGTGAAGAAGATTTGAGATTTGTCCTTGGTTCAGTTAAAGAGGCAGACACAACATGCAAAAGAGCCATTGGCTTTGTGGGAAACACTTTGTGCATGCCTATTTGACAATCCACGTGGCATTGACCCTCCACATAATCATTTTCTTTTTCACATCATAGAGGTTTCGTGTTTGTTGTATAAAGTTCAAATGTATGTGGCTTGGTTCTTCATAACCATTGGACATGAGGAAAAAATTGACTATAGTGGTAATTTACGAGCTTTTGAAGACGCATTGTTTCTTCATAACCATTGACTCATTGAGCATAAAAACAAAATAACTAGCATAAAATTAAAACGAAACCGACAATAACAAGATTCAATACCTAAGACTCGCTTCGCTTTAGTGTGTTGGTGATTCGGACAAATTTTCATCTTTATCCGGTTCATTATTTCGATAATCATATTCTCCGAGTTTTCATGTTTATAATTTTACAAACTTTGAAAACGAAAATGATAAACTCGGTGAGGATGATACTACTCAAAATTGCGCACAATTTGGTTTCGACAAAAATCGGATATGAAGAGATAACGAGTTACATCGAGAATTGTTATTTGTGATTCTTGTCTATGAAGAGATGATGAAACAAATGGTGGTGAATAAGAGAAGAATTGAATAAGTTGAATAATGGAATAAAAATGAGCAAAACTTTACTAATTTTTCATCCCTCTTTTGAAAAATAACTATTTTTTAGAAGAGTTAAGATTTTTTTCAGTATTTGGTGCAACGTAGTAGAATTTGGAATGAATGCAAGTTTCGCGTAAATAGTAGATTTGTAGAAGAATCCATAATTCAACTTATTCTTTCTTCTAATGTGTCAACCATTTGCACTTAAAATCGACGTTCTAAATTTAAAAAGAAAACTTTAGATGAAGCATATAAACTATGGACATCTTTATGAGTGTAGTTACATCTTGTAAACCAATATAAGTACTGCACATCTACGGAAACCAAATTATGAGTGTTTTTTATTTTGATTTTAAATTTTGCATAATTGTATATGTCAAAACCAACACTAGTTTTCGCAAGAGAAGCAGAAGCAATTGTGTGGGCCACTTATTCCATCTTGGATTACAAAGATTTGGCAGTGGACTTACTTGGACCAAATATACGAGAAAAGTTGGGCGTACTCCAAGTCTCCAACCACAACCACGTCAAGCAAGTAAAACGGCAAATACAAACCGCTAAATTACCGGATTGGCTTCGACCGTTTGTATAAAGGGCAAAACCCCAAACTCTCATATTCCAATTAATTAGTTAATGAACAAGCAAAAAAGTATGTTTTAATTTTCTCAAGATAATTTTGACCTTTTGAGCC